TGGAATTTTAAATAAGAGTTAAAAATATTTTGCTTGTGTGCTGTCTTAAAGTGTTGTGTTTCTGTGTTTACTATATTTAAATGTTTTTAAAGGGTTTAAATTAAAGTGAAGTGATTTTTTCAGCACTTATTATGACAATAAAAAAACTATAAAATGTCTAATTGTGCTGTGGCCACTTGTAAAAATTATAGAAAAATTACGAAAGGGAACGGACATTAAATATTTTCTATTTCCAAGAATGATGATCTGGCTAGGCAGTGGATTGCAGAATGTCGACTACGGTAGTGTAGGTGTCTATGGCGCCGCAATCATTTACGAGTCAATTTTGTGGTAAACGAGACATCGGAAGACCATGTCAATTTATTTGCATGGTTCTCTATAGGATTTGATGGATGTCGTATTTTTAAAAACAAATTTATGTAATCTTACTTATACATAAATCCTAACTTTTTCATAAAATAAGTAGTCAAGTATATTCAATAATGCAGATAAATGAGTCACACCAGTTGCGAATCCTAATCAGGTAAAAAATTTCGTCATGTCCAGATGCAAAACTTACCCAGGGTCCCGAGTTAAAAAGTTCCGAGTTGCGAAGATTATCCTGGTCACAGAAACTTTTCTTTAGAAGTCCAATGTTCTTCAAAAAACCAGCATTCAAATTTGTATAACAAAAATAAATCATTAAAAAGAAACAGGAAAAAAACTGTTATTTAAATAAATATTTTCTTTATGTATGTATTTGCATTTATTTTCCTTCATAGTTCGTTCCTTAACTATCCCATAATAATACCTGCGATATTTCATGTAATTCCTAAAATATTATCCTTTAATATTCATAAAATTTCTGAAAATAGCATATATTTTCCTCGCACTTCGTCAGTATTTTTAAATTCGCGCCTATACAAACTCTACGCGTGACGTCATGCCCGTGGCCGTCCTATTTTTGACACTGTTGATATTATGGATGTAGAAGGTAGGGAGATGCTGTAACGTGGTCCAAGGCGGGTTCACTTCCGCCATATTGCATTCACAAATCCTTCAAACAGCTAATCGTGGTTTCAATGTTTTTTCTATTGTACATATTAAAAGTTAAACATTGATTGCTTGTGCTCAACGTATTTTTAGCAACCTAATAGATATTTATATGAAGAAATTATCTGAAATAAGATTACACAACTAAATATACAACATAGTAAACAATGTGCAGGACATTTGAGATATTAATTGTGCTTTGAGAAAGAGTGTTGTAACCATATTAGGGTTTTGTAAAGATGAATTAAAAATGAGAGAATTTGCTGCAGTTAGTGCAAAAATTAAATTTAAAATAATCATAAGTATTCTCTTTGTTATTTTAAATTCTAGAAATTTACTTCTGCTTCACTATAAAAAGAATTTGTCTTTAAAAAAATTGTGATGGTATAGAATTTTTTTTAAATGATATGCATGAGTATATTAGTGCCTTAAAAACACGTAATTTACAACGCCGACTCACATTTACAGTTTTTACCAATATGCCAAATATCTCGAGACCATTGTATTCGCTTACATGGAGGCCATAACAATAACTCCACTGGCCAGCAATTTCTGGAGGGCTATTTTCAAACTCGAGAGAAAGTGATTTCTCTCAAGATTTTCATGAGAAATGTCATACGTCATCGTAAAAACAGTATTTTTAAGGCCAGTGAAAACTAACAGACTGTTTCTTTTGGTTTATGACGAGAGGATTAAAATTCTCCCAAGAATTTGAATTCTCATTGGCTTTAAAATACTATTTTGACGTTGACATATGACATTTCACATAAAAATCTTGGAAGAAATGAGATCTTTTAAGTTTGAAAATAAGTCCATAACTTACAAAAATTATTAGTAGATACACGTTGAAGGTTTCGTGGAAATTGTATTCCTCTAGAAAGACTGTGAATTTTAAAATGTCCTCTTCGTCAAATCAATGAATCGTCAAGAGACCAGGGCTGCTTATCAGTGTGCTAGACGTTACTGAGCATGATCAAATTATTTACTAAATCCCACGCCAACGGGATTTACAAAATATATTGATATACATATATTTAAAGTGACCATATTTTGAAAAGTAGAAAGCGGAACAAATCGAAAACAAAAGATATATTTCTACGAATTCTCTTTGCAGTAGTGACGGTTTGGTTCATTTAAGAGCAAAAAAATAAATATAAAAGGGTGGGATGTCATGTCACCATAAAAATTGAAATATTTATATTTTTTTCGTTAAAAAAAAGCGGGAACTAGTGCTTTAAAACCGGGACTATCCCGCCTAAATCGGAACAAATATTTCCGTTTATTGCAAAAAAAATATAAAAAAGCCTAAGTATATCCCTCTATGTTTGTACAGTTTTGATCAGCTTCCCTTGTATAACCTAACAAATATACAAACATTAGGATGATTTACCTCATTAAATATAAAATTAAAAAATGTGATAGCATAAGACATCTTATTTTATCAATAAGTGGAATAACTAAAAATTAGTTATTATGATCTTAATCATCCATTTTATAAAAATGAATAAATTTAGCTTAACTTTTCTAAAAAAAATGTAGATTTGGGTTTTATTAAGAAAAGTCCGTATCTGGCAGACTGGCCATATTGGGTTGACAACAGCCACGCCAAGTGATAATGTTTTGAATGTTTGAAAAAGTTATTTATAGCGTCTCCCTACCTTATAACTCCATGGTTGATATCCTACCTTTTATTTTTTAAAACATCAGCTGTGAGCAATAGCGTCAGTGTAGTTTAAACCGAGCTCATGGGGATTCTCATAGCGGCAAAATAAATTACAAGAAACAAAAACACTAGAAGGAACATGCTAATCTATATACATAGAAGACAAGCACTACTCACCCTGAACAAACCACAAATGTACTCAGGGTTAGTACTAGAATATCACGTCCCTGGCCAAAGTATCCATCAACAATGTGCTCACCTTAAGATGGATCGAAGATCACGCCACATCAAAAGGTAACCGTCTTGTTGATTCACTAGCCAAAAAAGACAGCAAACTAAAAACTTTTTTGACCGTGCTCTTCTATTGTACTGACAACAACGCTAGTGACAAATTTAAGTAAAGAATATTCCAGTATGAAATTCAAGGAAACTTGGCATGAAACAAGACGCTGCATACTTGCCAGGGAGCTTTTAAGTTATCCTGACTATACTACAGCAAACAAATACTTGACTATGACTAGACAGAATCTTCGCCTGATCACAGGCATTCTGACTGGCCAATCCCAAGTACGGAACTATCTCCATATTACGGGACTTTCAAAATCCGTACTCTGTAGGGGTGCTAATAAGAAGATGAGACCATCGAGCATATCTATGTTTGCCCGATGCTCTCATTTATTAGAAAATTTGTGTTCGATGTGAATTGGCTAACACCAGGCGATATAAGAGAAGCACGTCTTGGCGACGTTGTTAATTACATTAAGGGTGAGATTACAGAACGTCTGCAACTTTGCAGATCAAAAATATGGCGCTACTTTGCAGATCTACAACTATGGCGGACTTACAGATGCAAGAATCAAATTTTCGTATTCCAAAAAATATCTGCAAATTTGCAATATTTATTGTGGTTTATTGCCCCTAACAACACTAAACCCAAATATACCTTTAAGGGTGAGATTACAGAAGCTCTGCAAATCGTACTTGCATCTACAAATATCAGTTGCAGTTGCAAAAGAGAAACATGATATACAAAAACGTGTTTTCACTTTTTTTGCATCTGCAAACTATATGTAACTTTGCAGGAGGTTAGAACATCCTACAAACTTGTAGATTGTCAATTTTTACTTTACTTTTTTTTAATAAGCATGAAGTCTTCTGTTCCATTTGATTGAATACAGTTCGTGGTGTCAGGTTATCAAGTTTTTAAACATACTAATGGATTTGGGTTTAGTGTTGTTAGGGGTAATAAACCAGAGTAAATATTGCGAATTTGCAGATATTTTTTGAAATAAGAATTCTTGATACTTGCATCTGTAAGTCCGCCATATTTCCAGATCTGGAAAGTTGCCACCATATTTTCAGTTCTGCAAAGTTAAAGACGTTCTGTACTCTCACCCTAAGTCTGTAAGCTGACTCATGAACTGGAAGGTACAATAGGCTTAGTAAGGCCTAACTGCCGTGGGTTAATCCACCTTCCAACCGTAACAAATACAGAGAGATGTGTGGTTGTATTAGTTTAAAGTTGAAGAAGATAAAATAAAGCCAGTTGCATTATACACGAGACATTTAATCAAGCATCAAGACATTCTACAAACGTCATCAGTTAATTATCTACAGCTCACGCTTTATTTGATACAAAGGAATGCACAGACTACAGTAATTCAAGAAAACCAACTTTAATTTGTTAACCATCAATTAAAGTTAAATAGAAGGTTTTCTAAAAATGTAATATAATTTGCAAAGAAGGAAAGTGACAAGTTATATATTAAAATATTAGACCAGATTAAAATAAAAGACAATATAATAAATATAAACAACACGACTCCTGGCAATCTGAATTGCTAGGTGACGAGGTGATGAGGTCTACACAGATTACGGTACATCCAAGGCACTACAGTTTCTATCTCTTAACACATGATCTGACCTAAATATCATTTCCCTTAATGGTGTCTAACCAAATCTTACTAAAAAATTATTTCATTTTGATCATCTGTTCTTGATCTATTTTATCCATTATCGCAACACTAACAATCCCATCTTAGCGAATCGCTCTAGTGTCATTCACGCCAACTTTAAACGGCTTGAATCGACTAACTGGTATAATTATTTCTTGATAACAGAAGAGCTGGACTTCGAAACTCTGTTCTCTCCTATGTAGCTACAAGTATTGGTGGTATATTTGGGGGTTTCAATTGTGACAATCACACATATTTTGGAAATTTTATTTATTAAAGTGACCGATAAATATATTTTTTGACATATTTTTTTATTTTCAGGAAGAGAGACCTAAAATGTAATCGGCCGTGTTCAACAGTATGGACGTACCATGGACTTCCATTTTCATTCAGTTCATTTTGCTTTTATTCGTTTTGGAGTTTACGTCGACTTTCAAACAGACAGGTAAATACTGTTTTTTTCGCAATTTATATTTATATCTTAACACGAAAGAGTAAAACTCCTAAAAAACAGATGTAGATTTTTATTGATCTTAATAAAAAGCGGGTTATTGCGACTATTACAAGCCTGCAGATGGCTATGAGATGAAACTAGTTGCAATCACCTTTTTTTTAAGATCAATAAAATTTATGTGTAAAATTGATTTTGTGTTTTACTCTCTTATTAAGAAAATTTGACCACAATCGAGACATGGTTAATTTATCATTTCATAAGTGTTTCTGCCAAAATCAGTTACGTTGTTCGCAAAGGCAATCCCTGACTTGTCCCAGCAAATTCGTATGCTCTACTACAGTACAAAGAAAAAGTAAGTAATATTATTAGCCAATGTGACTATTTTAAATAATTTCAAAAAAATCTAGAATTATCATAATCAATTCATATTCGTCTCAGATAAATAAATAATAATAGATATAGAACTGTTATCAAATGATTATCCACGAAAATAAAAAATAGGAGGACAGGTATTTTCTTTCTTCTAGGTGGTGTTGAAGATCTTAAAGATCTAGGATGCAATCTATATCCGTATGCCACAAAATTAATTCCTTTATAAATGTTATTATTATTGTCATATGTATTTACCTTTTTCAGATTCCTAAGGATAAACGTCATAACTAACAAAAGTCAAAGTTTTAGGAAATTACGTGATTTACAAAGTATTTCTATTAATTTATATTACTTTAAGTTAACTCATGCCAAAATTTCATTCCTTTTGAAAAATATTTACATAATGAACAATATGAAAACAGAAAATCGTTAATACCTCAAAATTTTTCTCAGGTCAGATAGGACGTTTGAGCTTAGCAGGCAGAACTCAGGCAGAGCTCATGTCAAATCTGAAATTCATATGTAAACAATTCTATGATTTGATCGTTTCTAATAGGAAGGTATCGCAAGCTCCCCGCAGTGTATAAAATACAAATTAAAGAAACAGAATCGGGTTAAAAATATTGCAAAATTTCATACATAAGAATTATTTTATAATTGATTTGAAAATTAATGATCAGTGACGGATAAATTCTAAAATAAAATGTTTAGCATTATTTGTTACAAAATAAAATCTTTGGTTTTCTTCCTAAAATTTTTAAAAATATCAATTTATTTCAATTCTTGTCTAAAATTTTCTAGTCATTTTAGTCAATAAAAATAAGGTAAGTATGCTTTGGGAGAAAAATCTACAGTTAACTAAATGTAAAAAGTAACACTGGGTAACTGAAATCTACATAGTGGAAATAACTGTAACTACATTAAAATGAGAACTATATTAAATATATGTCATAAAAATTAATGACGTCACGACCCAACAAGTGTACTTTAGGACGAACATCTTTATAGTACAGTTAAATAACTATAAATATTAAAAGAATTGTAACCCACTACACCTAACATATTGACTTAGCTACTTGTAGTGCGTAAATAATTTAATCTGCATTTTACATGTATTTAACTCATTTAACTGTAACTTTCATGCTAAAACTCGAAACCGACACATATAATATATATGTAATTTACATGTAATTCATTAAGTTCTTCATTTGTTATACCTGACCCTTACACTTGGTCTTAAGCAAGGAGTACAGTTAATGTTACCTAGAAGCTATATGTACTTTATTTTTAATATTACTTTGAGCTTATCTGTGATATCTGTGACAACCTCCGAGCAAATACTACTAGAGGGAGTCTCCTCTTCCCCGCGCTAAATTTTGTGAGCAACATCTACTCCCCCCGAGGGGGGAAATATCTCTTCTGTAATTGGCTTATTTAATCAGCGTTGCCAAGTTTGACAGCGAGAGTTCTGACACTTTCTGACACATGTCAATTTTTAATTTGTATTTTACGAAAAATATAATTATTTATAGCTTAGTATCTGTAATAATATGGTGAAAACACGCTTTATATAATATAAACAAAAGGTAGACAAGCCCATTAGAGCCACTACTGGCTGAGCATGGGCATTTATAGTTTATTAAAATAATCGATTTAATTTATTTTAACTAGAGTGTAGCACCTTATATGTATATTATAAGTATATTATAAAGTCCTATTATCTAAATAATTAAATATAGAAATTAATATATCAATAACAAAAACAAAACAAATTATTAAAATATCAATTAAAAAAAAAAAACAGTTCAAATATAAAGAAAATACAATTAAAATATCAATAAAATCAATTTTAACAAGATCACAATTTTGGTTTTAAGCACAATAAGTAAACTTTAAAATTTCAAATAAATTATAAAAAAGAAATGAAAAACCAATAGGTAAAACAAGAAGAAATATTAAAACATTTTTTTTTTGTAAGGCAATGCTCGATACCAATACTTAACTTTATGATAAATTGTTACTCATCATTTGTGATATTAGATCATACTGCAAACAATAATTCTATTGATTTAGTATCATAATGAATAAAAAAATTTTTAAATATAGATTTAATTAGACCTATCGAGTTTAATGTGCATATGTATGTTTTATACATTTCAGGTAGGAAGTTATAAATCTTTAGAGACATATGTAGATGTGAACGCTGACCTATGGTTTTTTTAAATAAGGGTATTTGGATACACCCTTTTTCCTTGTTTTTTGTTAAGTACTTGTGTTCAAGTCCTTTTATTAAATGTTTATTTTTATAAAGAAAAACCACGGAGTTATAAGCATACAGTTTTCGTAGGTTTAAAACTCTTGCTTCTTGAAACAGTACTTCCGTCGGAAAAATATTTTTTTTGCCGTAAATAATTTTCAATATCTTTCTTTGAAGAATATTGACTGGATTTAAATATGTTTTCGCAGCAGCACCCCAACCTAGAATACCATACTGTATTCTGGACTCTACTAGTGCATGATATACCATCTTTAGGTGACTTATGTTTAGGATATTTTTCAAGTATCTAAATTTATATAGTAGACTTCGTAATATTCTAGAGACATTTTTAAAATGCATATTCCACCTTAAGTACGAGTCAATTGTAATACCTAGGTACTTGAGGCTACTTGAGCGACTTAACACAGTGTCATCTGATATTGTTAATATTTCATATTCAGGTAGACTATTTATATAGCTGCTAAGGGGTATGAAAAATGTTTTTTCAAAATTTATGGTAAGTATCTTACTTTGAAACCATTTTATAATTATTTTTAGGTCTAGCTCAGCTTTATTTTTCAGATTTTCCCACGAGTCTGCTGAATAGAATATGGCGGTATCGTCAGCGAAGCTAATTATTTGAGACATCTGAACAATAAACTCATCTAGGTTTTTATTTAAACTACGAATGTTTTGATGGATAAGTCTAAAGATCTTATTATTTGGTGCCATACATTCCTGACTATTCAATTCTTTAATTGTTTTTAGTTCAAGTGTGTCAAAGAGTTTGTAATCACAGTCACGAATGTAAGGATCCATTTTCTGAATTTTTGTTATATCTTAAATATAAAAAATATGCATATATATATATATATATATATATATATATATATATATATATATATATATATATATATATATATATATATATATAATTTATTATCACTACGCTAAGATTACTTATCTAAATTAGAAGAGCCGGTACGAGATCTGGTATTTCGATTTTGAAGTCCTTGTTCTCGTTGGTTTTTTGTATGCTTAGGAGTAATTGTGTTAGTTGGTTTGATTATTTGTTTTGTAGATTTTACTTGTTCGGTTGCCTGTTAAAAATGCTTGTTCAAGATTATATCATAGATGTAAGTACAAACACAACTTAATTATCAGAGGCGGTGCATTTAATTTGCAATTAAACTTTCTTATTTTCGAATAAGTAAAATTAAGAGGGAATAAACTTAGTTCGTCTTTATTTGTCTCATAAAGTAAACGTTAAGTACTTCAGAAAACTTGATGGAATGTTTGACAGTCAACACATTTGTTGATGGACTCCGTGATCACGAGATGCAGAAAACACTCACCCCGCCGCAAAACATTGGTCGATGTTTTGTCCATTACTTTAGATTATGAGGCTGCTAAACATGCTTCTGGTGGATACAGTAGAATGAGAACTACAAAAGAGGAAGAGGAGGAAGATAAACTCGACCAATTGGTTAACATGATGAAGATATTTACTGATAAAAAGATGAAGACAATGATCATCAGGTGTTGGAATTGTGGTGAACTGGGAAATGTACGCAGTTCTTGCAAACGCCCTAGGGCCCCAACAACTGAAGACAATACGCTGCAGGAAAACTAGAGCGCGTCGGCCTAGAGGGGGCAGCTTCGACCCAAAACCGTTCCAAAGACCCTCTCATACCTCTTTGAAATGTCGCGATGATAGTGTATACATAGACAGTGAAGTAAATGGTAAAAAGTATACACTGTCGGTGGATACCAAAGCAGCTGCGATCATTATACGACCAACAACCATAAATAACCGTTAGAGACTTCTACCTACAAGATTGCGACTGCGGATTGCCACAGGTGAAAGTGCTAACATCCATGGGGAAATCCAGGTTCAATTGGGAATTGGTACAGAAAAATTAACTCATACTATTATTGTCGCTGATATCGAAGATGTTATACTTGGAATGAATGTAATGAACTTACATGGTTTCCAGTAAGACTTTAAGAACAGAGTGATCAGAGTTGGTATATCCATATGGGGACATTACCGTGCCAGTAGCTAGACAAAAAGACATGGTTATACCTGGTAGAAGTGAAACTATTATAGTAGTACGGCTTCAAGAGACTATAGAAGAGAAAACACCTGTAATGATAGAATCTTGGAACCACGATGAAGATGTTGGACGAGGAATTCTTATCGGAAAGGGGTTGGTCAAGACTGCTTAAGAGATTCTAATCTGTCTTATAAACGTTAATGATCACCCAAGTGCCATCAAGAAAAAGACCAGAATCGGAACCTGTGTACCAGTAATTTCTATCATTTGTCAGACAACAACTTCTGATAATACTAAATACAAAA